AGGAGCCGTCCAATCAGAGCTTTGGGGTATAAGTTCGATATTATATCCCAGAGCTCTGATTGGACGGCTCGTTATTCCCTGTTGCTTGTGCCTATTGCGTTTCCAGCTTTACAGTGCGCAAAACTCGAATGCGTGGCACCGAAAAAGTTCGGCACTCAATACTCAGTGCTCAGTACGCACTAGTGCAGTCTACCGAACCGAATTTGTCATTAAAGATAAAAGCGCGCTTTTATCGAGGAAAGCGCATTCTGAATACAGGCCACAATATACCTGTATCGTTCCGCGGAAGTATTGGAATAAAATTAGCAGTGTTAAGAGCTCCAAGTTAATTTCTAAGAAGAGATATATACTAAATCAATTGAAACCTCTGCTCCCCGAGGAGGTTATTCATAGGATCAACTAATTCCGTTATTTTCACATGGTACTGTGTCTCTATATTTGAGACGGAAAATCAATCAAGGGGAAATAGAAGAAGAATAGAACTCGTTTTCTGTTTTTTTTCGAAGAGTTGTGGCAAAACGCAGTGACGAATTAGTCGCAAGTTGAAGTTGCGCGTATCTCGTATAAATTGCTCTGAGTTAGAATCTTTCAGAAAGAAGAGCAATGGCATCGATGCAGGACAGTGAGTTCGACTTTTGACAAAAGATGCTTTTGTAGATTAAGACAATTGTATTAAGTTTCAATGCATATTTTGACTTTAAATGAATAGATTTCAGACAATCTCATTCTATACTTGTCGTTACTTCTGGAATACGTTAGTTTTATCTGTTTTAAAATAAACAGATACTTGGACAGATGTCCGAAATGAAATAACGATGTTGCTAACCTATATCACCAAACAAAGAATGTCAACGTAAAAGAATTACTTGCGCAAATTTTCCTTGTTTTAATTGCATTTTTTGTTTTTATATTCAAAATATATATTTAAAGATGACTTTTAAGAGAAAAAATAAGAAAAAAGCAAAATAAAGAAAGGAAATATAACTAAAGTAGATACTGTACATTTATTTTAATAGTTCTAAGATACTCTATTTAAAATTTTTGTCTTATGATTACTACGTAAGTGTATGAGATTAAAGTTCATTTAATCAATTTTGTAATCTTTTTACATGATATTTCCTATTATGATATATGATATTTCTGTTATTTAATTTTTTATTTGTGTGAAAGGTAGTTAAATGATATTTAATTAGAATTAAATTTATTTACTTTAGCACATATAAGCCAAGAGGTAGACGATAATTAATTAAAAACAAATTTCAGGAATGAAATTCAAACGTACAACCTCGAACTGTGACACGTGGTCTACACGGGAACAATTATGTCTTGCATCAAGTGTACTGAAATCTGGGGATCAGAATTGGATAAGTGTATCCAGATCATTGAAACCATTTGTTGAAAAAGAACCATTAAGGCCCACAGACTGGTTCTCGCCAAAGTCATGTGCTATACAATATGCGTGTTTACTGGAAAATGCTGATACGCCAAAAAGAAAGAAGCGGGAGAGCGGCGAGACCACTAGCGAGTCCATAGTCAGAAAATTGACACAAGAGAGAGTAACCGAGTTGAGTCAAATGCTCAACCGTCAGAGGGAGGAGTACCTACGACTCAAGACGGATTTGAATCATTTCAAGTCTAGCACAATAAGTGACGAGAAGCTGGAGAAGATGTGGCTTGATATACAACAGGAAGAACGTGAGATGGAGCAAAAGACACGGACTCACATGGCGTGGCTGGCGAAACGTCAACAGCAACAGAAGCAGGATATAAGTTCACCATCCATCTCGACTTCAATTGTAACCCAAACTCGCAAAGCAGTGGAAGGTACAACGGAGGTACTACAGGAATCCACTGCGACGGAATCATTGGTGGAAAACGATGAGGAAAAGAAAACTAACAGAGGCGGTAGATCTCCATTGTTGACGAGTCTACTAAAATCTCCCAGTCCGACTACTCAGACTGTGCAATCCTTTCCATCCACTCCGGTTCAAGTGAGTTCGCCAACTATTACCAGTCTACTTGGATCAAGTCCTAAAGCGTTAAACGCACAGATGGCACAAAAGGTATCGCCACAATTGCAGCAGTTGGTCTCGACGGCTATAGCTAGCGCGAATACGATACCAGAACGGCCGTCCGTTGGCGCTCCTACGCTCTCTATGCTGTTGGAAATGCCAGCGAGTACGCAGAGAGGATCCCTACCAAATCTGCAAACGACAACCCCCACAGCGAATGTATCCCATGCACAACAGCAACAGACAACCACAACTGTGGCTGCCACCTCCGAAGTGCACAATTTCCAGCAAGCGGCGCAACCGCAAACTCAAGTCCAACAGGCTATCCAGAATGAAGCGATAGCAGCGACGACAATGTCAACAATTCCAGCGACCGCCACCACCTCGACAAATATGCCGGTGTCAGAGAATATGCAGATGCAGATAATTGATCACATAGATGTGATGCGTAAAGACATAATGGTGGATGTGATGGATAAGGATGAGATAAACGACATCATCGGCGACATCGAGGAATTGATCAAGGAAGAGATCAAAGAAGATATTCCCAGTAGTCCACAGACGATAGACACGAGTGGCTCGACAACAACGACGACAACGGCAGTTATCAATAGTCTCACCAGTATGCCCCAACAAGCGACGGAAGTGCTAATACCTACAACGGGACCAAGGCCACAACCGAGAGATGTGGATGAGGCTGTGTCGCTGTCCGATTCGCCGCAAAGCGAAATGGCAATCGAGGAGATTGATTCTAGTACTTCAAATATTGCCGAGATTATTGGAACCGTCGCCATCGATTCACAAGAACCTAAAATTATTGTCACGGAGATCACAGAGACTATATCAAACGCATCGGAGACCAAATCCGAGACGAGTACGTGTGAAAAAAAGACGACTTTGACGGAACAGCTTGTTCAAAAGACAGAAATCAAAGATGAAGAAACTAGTAACGATACTTCAATGGAAGAGAAACAATCGGACGGTGAAACAAAATCCGTGGACGCCTCATCGAACGTAGAGATCGAGGAAAATAACTCTAAACTTTTGGGCGATACGAAGAAAACGATAAACGAGACTATGGAAGACGTGAAAGAGGAAGCTGAAGAGGAAGAGGAAACGGAAGTGACTGCGCCTGTTTACAAAGAATCATCCGATAGCGTTAAAGAGCAGAAGGAGTCTCCAGAAGACACTGAAGGTAAACATAATGCGGGATTAGATCAATTAGAAATATATTTGGCGAAAATTACAGGGGATCAGCAGGACGTGCCGTCCGCGGAGATTGTCAGCATCTCTTCAGAGGTGACGAATGATCTACCCAGTGCCGAAGATACGGAAAAATCGCAAGATATTAGCTTGATCCTGGAGGACGACGAGAGCAGTCAAAACACGGAGAGTAAAAAGAAAGTGGCAACAGAAGAGCGAATTGTCGAAAACACGGTCGAAAACACTGAATCCTTAGAATCGTTTAAAGAGGAATCGATAAAAGAAAAGAATGTTGTGGAGATAAAGGAAGAATCTTCGATAAAGTCACAGACAGAAGAAACGAATGAGGAAACATTGGAGATAGGCACAGAGCTTAAGAAAGAGAAGATCAAAGATTCCTCGGAGGACGCTACAAGTTTCATCTTGCAGAATGTAGAAGTCAAAGAGGAGGAGGCCGACAAAGGACCGGCTGATGGAAACGAGGATACTAAACAAGTGACCATAGAGGAAGTGAAAAGTGTCAAAAGCGAGCCAGTCGAGGCCACGACTGCCGACGCAGAAATACACATTAAGAAAATGGAGAGTGCAGAAGTCAAATCCGAGGAATCAAAAGCCGAAACGGAACCGGAAGCTAGCGATTCGTTCCATAGGAAAAGCCCGCTTCACGGTTCATCGGAGGAAGACAAGAAAGAGAAAATGGAGGTGAAGGAGAAAAAAGAGGAGAAAGAGGATGTCAAGAAAACCACGGAAGGCGAGCAGAGCGTAAAAAAGGAGGTAGAATCTACAGTCGTGGAAGAACCCGGAGAATTAGACGAGGAGGAGTCATCGTTGAGCAAATTGAGTAGCAACCGGGCGATGAAGACGTACTCCAAGAAGCAGAACGTCGCTGTGGACAGCGAGCCAGAAAATGAGAGCACTGGAGAGGGCGCGGATTATCGTGCTTGGAAGAAAGCGGTCATGCTCGTCTACAATCGTTTAGCCACGCACAAATACGCGTCGGTGTTTCTCAGGCCGATCACAGAGGACCAAGCGCCTGGGTATCATTCGGTGATCTTCCGACCGATGGATCTATCAACTATCAAAAAGAACATTGACAACGGCACAATTAGGTCGACCATGCACTTTCAGAGGGACGTCATGCTTATGTTCCAAAATGCGATCATGTATAACAAACATGACACGTTTATCTTTAAAATGGCAGTTTCAATGCAAGAGGAGTGCTTACAACATATGCAGGCAAGAAAAAGATTCTGTTTATTATTCATAACTCTAATTCAAATAATATATTCTTTTTTGCTAA